GGCCTAGATCAATTCCTAATTATGTTGGCATAGGAAATTACTTGTGTGTGATTTCCTTGGAATTTGATATTTTGGGCATACTATATGTTATATACTATGCTTTGTGAATGAGGTGGAAACTCTTGTGTGATAACATGAATTGTTGTCTTAAAGGTGTTTGTCAAAATGTCTATGTGTGAATCAAGTTGTTATGACATAGTGATGTATAACATACTTAGAAAATGTGTTGAAAAGAAATGTTAATATGTGCTCATTGAGATATTGACATTGTATTGATTTATGAAATTTATATGCCTATAATATAAATTGTCATGACACATGTTGAGATGTGTGGTTTAATTTGTCCATATGGCATCCATTACATATGGGACATGATATGTAGTTAATTTGGCTCACGGCATTCATTACATCGCATATGCACAGGAACACATCGCATTTCATGGGTGTGAGTGCATGGTTGATATCAAACACCAAGTAGGTGGGTAATAAGTGGGATCGGTACCGTTGGATCAAGGTTCGACAGAATCGCATGATAGCATGGCATGAAAAACTTGTGTCGGGTATAGCAAGAAGGGCTAGACATGTCCTCGGGTACAAGACCCGACTACTGGTTTTATACACTTCCTACGGTATAAATCCAAAAAAGTGTATCGGTTTGTGGAGCCGGTGGTGCGACACCAAAAGTCCACTACCCAAACAAAGACACATGATTTTATTATATAATGATTTCATTTGATGGGAAACATCCATGAATGAAGTGATTTTATGAATATATGGTGGGTGTTTTAAAACTGATAATTGGATGTATTTCATCAATGATAAATGTAGTACACTTGTATTGCATAGTGTGGTGAAAGCCGGTGAAGGCTTGGGTTGATGTGCGTGAGTGAGTCTCATCTCATTTTATGGCATGACATGATAGATTCCAACATGAATTAAATATTCTTGCATTAGAATGGATATTGGTTGAGTGTTGTTGCATGTATACATTTATATGCATTTAGGTGGGGAGTAGCCCTTGTAGGAAGTATTCTATTGGGCGTTGGCTCACCCTATACGGAAAACATTTTAGGTACGAGGCATATTCCTGTGGATGACACACATACGGGGCCTCTAAGGTGAAGAAGAGCTGGGTTGTGGCTCTTGAACCGAGTTTTATGTAAAACTTTTGGTTTAATTCCATTTTGGCATGTAAATTGTATGGAATGGATGTACATGAAAAATAGGTGAAATGGACAAAACTGGACAGAGTGTACTGGTACTATGTACCGGTACCCTATGGTCCAGAAGACAGAGTGAACCGGTATGGCGTACTGGTACTGTCTGTCCAGAGGGCAAGCCGTACCGGTACGCAGTACCAATACGCTTTTCCAAATTTTTCAAATTTTAAAACTAAAGTGTTATGCCCTTGAACTTTGGTTCCTTGGTTCCAAAGATACAAATGGACATTAAATAAGATGTATTGGGGTATATTGAACCTTGGTTAGATTAAATAATTGAAAGAATACGGGTTACACGTGTGAGTTAAAATTTCAGGTAAAGAGATACAATTACGTGATGTCGGATTATGCGGCACTCACGGATATTTTCGCAGGTTGACGGTGGTCAACGGGACCCCCAGATTTAGGGGCGTCACACATTCATTCACTTTTATGAGTGAAAGTTATGTATATTATATGTATTGTTATTTTTCAGCGCTTCTTTACTCAAAATTTGTAATTGTGACACAATTTTATTATTGTTAAATGTTATATGTTCAATGGGCTATTGTTATTTTTGGTATTTCTTTACTCATGCATTTGTATGATTTTATATATGAGAAAATATTTAAATATTAAAAAAAAATCTAGGTCGTAGACATTGAAAACCATGCTAATCACACAAAAAAAAAAAAAAATTCAAAGTCAAAGTCAAAGTCAAGCTAATCACTAATAAACAAAATAACAAGTGATATCAATTGCACTAAAAAAAACAAAGTCAAAGTCAAGCTAATTACCAATAAAAAAAAATAACAATGACCAATAAAAAAAATAAGTGAAACCAATTGTACAAAAAAAAAAATTCAAAACCAACTATAAATTTTATTTTTTTTTCAAGTTGTAGACATTCAAACCTAAGCTAATCACCAATTAAAAAAATAAAAAATCCAAATATTTAAATATTTAAATAATTTTATAGAATGAGCAAATATTTGAATACTAAAAAAAAAAAATTCTAGGTTGTAGACATTCAAAACCAAACTAATCATTGATAAAAGAACAAGTGAAACTAATTGCATCAAAAAAATAAAAAAATTCAAAGCCAAGTAATCACCAATAATAAAAAAAATTAAACCAATTGCACCAAAAAAATAAATCAAAGTCAAATTAATTACCAATAAAAAATTAACAAGTGATTGAATTTATAATTATGTTGTGTTATTAGGATGAATGGTGATAATGATGATAAATTCATGCATCTTATAAATGAGCAAGATTTAATTTATTGCTTAAAAATTGTAAATTTTATTAGGTTTCGTTAGTATTTGTTTTTTTTCAAGGTATTTATATATTTGATGTTATTTTGGGGATTTTTTTTATACATTTTTGTGATAGTTCTATTAATATGGAGAACATGATCGACAATATATTTCGAGTCACTTTAAAAAAATTGGTATGAATGTTTTAAAACCATTTTCTTTTTCAAGCTGGACAATTACTTGTAATTTTTTTATGTGTTATATAATGCCTTCGGACACTGGTAATGACTAGCATATATATAAACTGGTAATAACCTCGTATCAGAAGATACTACACAATATCAAAAATTAAATTAATCTTGCAATATTTATACTAAATTGGATTTGATGGAATTGTTTAACGTTGGGGAGTGTATTGATTGGATTATATGGTATTGTGAGTCATGCAGAGAAGTTAATATTTTTTAGAGAGAAAAATTATGATGAATTTTGTACAATTGGATTAAAATAGGGTTGGATAGGATCTCTAACCCTTACCATTTTCTAAACCCAAATTTAAATTTTAGTAAAACATCCCTAAAAACCTTCTCCAACCCAATACCCAAACATTAAAACATATACTAAATCAAGAGAAACTCAAATTTTTTATCCAAATTACCAATGGTTAGATTTCATTCTCCTTTAAAGATCCAACAGTCATATTTTATTCTCTTTTAAATTTAAGTTTGTCCTTAATTAAATTTAGATTTGTCCTCTTTTGAATTTGAATTTCTCCTCTTAACTTTGAGTTTCTCTATTGGAGTGTTTTGTATCAAATTAAATTTTTTACCCATTTTTTTATTTAAATTTTGGTAAGAGTTTCAGTCACCATTGGAGATGGTCAGCATTTTCAATCCTTACCCTTTAAAACCCCAATTTTAAATTTGGATAAAAAATCTCATAAAAATATTTCAATGCTAGATCTATACCTATATCAAATCAACCAAAACTCAAATTTATATTCAAATTTTTAACGGTGAGATTTTATAATCTTTTAAAGATTCAACAATCATATTTTATTTTCTTTTAAATTTGAGTTTCTCCTCTCTTTTTTTTATTTTCTCCTTTAAATTTGAATTTCTTCATTGAATTGTTCTATACCAAATCAAGGCTTTTTTTTCTTTTTTTATTCAAATTTATGTAAGAGTTTGGATTTTCATTGAAAATGATTAGTTTTAGAAAAAGATTTTCTTTCTCTTTTGGAAGTTAAAATTTCTTTTTATTTAATATAAGTATTAATCTAGTATTAGTGAAACATTTTAAATCATTTCTATTCAAATTTAAATTTAGGTACAGAAAAGAGTTGGGTCGGAGTTGTCCTTCCCCCACCATTTCCGTATATAAACACAACCTTGATTAGGGATAGCAGTGGATCGGAGAAAAGCGAGTATTCGTCCAAACTCGTCCCGTTTGGACGGAGGATGGACTATACGTATTGGATGGTGGACGTATACGGGGATACCCGTATAAACCCGTATGAGGATGAAAGCGAGGATGGACTTACCCTTCCCCCGCCCCTCCCCTCCCCTCCCCACCCCCGCTACCCTTTATATATATATATATATTAGCAAGCTTTAACTAAACATATTTACTGTAACTACTAATCTAGAAATATGGTAATCAAACTAACAAGTGGTATTGCTATGTAGTAATTTTATCAACTTTTTTTCTTGATTATTTCTTTTTCTATTTGTGTTCACTGATTGAAACTGTTAGGAGTTTTGATTGACCATGCTCTAAAAACAGATAAGAGAAAGTAAGATAGTTTTGTATTTCATTGTGGATAGAAATATTGTGAATGGAGGTCGATGAGTTTCTCTGTTATAGTGAACTAAAAAATTGAGAGAATTATTAAATTAGCGAAATTTTAAGTTTTCATCTTTTAACACTTTTATGGCTGTAATATGAATTGTAATAATAAAAATTCTTCTAGGAACTTCTAGTGTAGCGCTATCGTTTTCTTAGTTCAATTTTATTTTTCTTTTCTTTCTTTCTCTCTAATAGTTTCGTTTCTCTTTTTGTGGTCCAATGACACTTTAAACAGAATACTATATTGTTTTGGCTTTTACATTTTGTAATTTAGATTATTCACTAGATTATTTAGAATGTTGTTGGATTATTTAAAATATTATATTTATTTAGAATTTTGAATTATGCTACTTGGGTTTGGCCTTGAGCTTAAACAGGTATGGGGAAGCGGGGACGGTGACGAGAATTAAAAATTTATCCGTGGATGAAGATGGGGATGAAAATTATACCCGTTAACGGGGTGGACCGGGGATGAACAAAATCTTTTTAAAGGAGTACGGGGATGAAGACTACATTCCTTCCGCCCCCGCTTCGGTCCACTGATATCCCTAACCTTGATCCAGCCCACCCAATCTGAACCGTACAAAATATTTACTCGAACGCATCCGAGCCGTTTATTCTTTTGTTATAAACCATTTATACCCCAAAACCTATAGTTTTCTGCAACTGCAAAGAGCTAGGTTTTTTTTTTATTGGATATAGGTTTCTTCACAGATCTCTCAAATTTTCGCCATTCTCCGCCAGGTATGTACTGCTTCATCCTGAATCTTGGTCACACCTTGCTGTCTTTCTGATCACCATTCTATAAAAGTGTTGTAGCGTTATGAAGTGTTTATGATCTGCTTCGTTTCTGAGAATATGTGAAATAGTGAGAAAAAAATGAACTCTTATATTCATTATATGTGATTTTTTTCAATTCTAGTGTTAATTGGTAGCTGTTATGTTCATATACAGAGAAGAGTTTTTGTTTTGGGTAATGCACGACGATGAAAATTTGTTAGGATAGTTGAGAATCTGAAATACCATTTTCCTCTTAGATTTCAGTTTATTTAAGTTTTGGTTGGTTACTGAGAATATTGATGACAGTAGATTGAAGTTGATTGTGATTATTGTGTTTCAATGTGACATGGTTTCTGGAGCAATATTGACCTTAGTAGTGGTGCACTTTATCTTGAGACCCAAAAAAAAAAAAAACAAAAATTCATGCCAGTACTTTGCAAATCAGTTTCAGCTGGGTCATTCAACCCTGATTTATATTGCAATACTTCAGCAAAGCATTCTTACCTAAGAAAACTTTCTTCTTTTTCATCTGCAATACTTTTAATACTATGCTTATCCAGAAATATTTTATCGGGCGTGTTGAAAAGCATATTATCCATTGACTATAAACTCATTCAAGCAGGTCTGTGAAGATGTATACCTCAAGGAAGAAAATCCACAAAGATAAGGATGCTGAACCTACTGATTTTGAGGAGTCTGTAGCACAGGTTGGATGCAATTCTCTTTTTAAAGGCCTTTTATTATATTTTACCTCCTTATTCATCCTTGTGTGAAACATGTGGCTAGGATTCTCATGCACTTTGTATGCAGGCCTTGTTTGATTTGGAGAATACCAACCAGGAGCTCAAAAGTGAGTTGAAGGATCTATACATAAATTCAGCAGTGTAAGAATGGTCTGAGGACTATATTGTCAAATAAAGCAATGTGGTACTTGCAATGACGCCTGATAGTTCTCTTTGTTTCTCCTTGATGCAGTCAAGTTGATGTCTCTGGGAACCGGAAGGCTGTTGTCATCCATGTTCCCTATCGGCTGAGAAAAGCCTTCCGCAAAATTCATGTCAGGCTTGTCAGAGAGTTGGAAAAGAAATTCAGTGGGAAGGTAATAAAATTTCTCTGTTTTCTTATTGTGCCAATCTAGAAAATACAGTATATCAGAAATTAAGTATGAACCCTGAAACCATATGCTTCATTTATCAATTGAAATTGGAAGAAGAATTGTATTGAGTCTAATCATATTGACTGCATTAATTTGTTGATTTTTGAAATCATTTTATGCATTGCTTTTATCATTTTACTTATTGAAGGCCTCTCTCTTTCTCTCAAAAAAATATAAGATCTGGTTATCTTAGTTAATTCATTGCTAGTAGATAATGGTTCTTGATCTTTGATTCTTCTCTTATAGCTTTGCATGGTCTGGGTTTAGGATGATCTGTGACAGTTATTCGTTGGAATGAACTCTTAGACTTCATATACTTACATGATTATTGTCACAGATTAAGCCACCTTGATAATGTAGCGGTTGAGACTTCCTTTCCTAGGAGAATCCTGCTTTATCTTTGGGCGTTCTCATATCGTATTGGCTTGGGGAGCAGATTTTCTGCCATTACCTCTTGGGATTGTCCTTGAGAGAGATAAATACATATGTGTATCATTTGCATAGCAACTTATTGTTTTTTTCATGAATCCCTTCAATTTTTTTGTTCACTGAGTAACACATTTCACATTGTTTTTTTCCTTTTTTTTTTTTGGTCCGAAGATTCATATTTGTTGGTCTTTGTACAATTTCTTCTTGTGTTAAGACAGTCACAAGATGCTGGTGTACATGTCTAAGAATGAATATTGCTCATCATTTACGAGAATTGAGTTTTTCATCTGTTGTGTTTTCTTCTTTACTTACATATTTACATTACACAGGTTTTTCAACAAGCCCAATATTGTGAGGAATCTCAATTATCTACCGTGTGAGATTGTGTTTCAGAAACTGTTATTTGTTGAAAGAGCAGATACTAAAATTTATCTCTTTAGTTTATTAGTACGAGATGTTGCAGCGGTTTTTTGATTCGCTTACTTCAACTTATTTCCCAAGTCTTACTAACCTTAAATACCTCCAAAAAGATCTTAGATGTGTTCTTTCAAAGTGAAGTTCTATCTTATTCTTTTATTTTCCATTGATACACATTCTATTGAAACCTTATTCATTGTTTCAGTTTTCCCCTTTTTATCTGTCTTCGGATGCGTATTCATTCTTTTTTTGGTGGTGGGTGCTTATGTATCTTGTATTTTTTATTTTTTTTGGTCAGGTATTTATCTTGTATTAAGCCACCACTGTCTTAACCCTTGTTGCTGTTCAACTCTGACGCAAGATTTCTGTGTGTGTTGCGTGCGCGAAAACAGTCTTGAGCCATTTGTGGAAGATTGATTATAATAAAAACATAGTAATTGGAATGTGCAATGATGATAAATGTTAATCCCAGCTCATTATGAGACCTTCAGAAAGGTCAGGGAGTAGAATTGATTTAACATCTATCTGAGCTCTTTAATATTTCAGACTTATTTAACCTTTTTGCGCCACATCTTAATATGTTTTAACTACACAATAATATCAACTCTTGCCTCATAGCACTATGTATGCACAGCAATATTCCTCATGGTTTCTTGCCTGTTATACACCGTATGATTTTGTAGGATGTGATTCTGATAGCAACCCGAAGGACATTGAGGCCCCCAAAGAAAGGTTCTGCTGTTCAACGCCCTCGCAGCCGAACACTGACTGTCGTGCATGAAGCCATGCTGGAGGACATTGTTGTCCCTGCTGAAATTGTAGGAAAACGTGTTAGATATCGCATTGATGGATCCAAGATAATGAAGGTAAACTTCTATTTTAACTTATTATATTTTCTAGCCCAAATAAAAAGTTTATAACTGGCTGCATGCTTCTGTTCTCACAAAAAAAAAAAATATAAGGCTCTGTATTATATTATAAAAGCTAGTGTTCAAGGTTTATTCTGAGTAAATAAAACTGCAAAAGTGTACCAGTTGCTACGTTGGTTGTTTACTCATTAGCACGGAATGGGGGTCCGGTGTCAGTTTGCTGGATTTACAATTTAGCTTGATGTGAATATGGCAGGTTTAAATCACCAATGTTCACACACAACTTGGATTTGTGGACTGATGAAGTGTGTCATTTTAGCTATGACATACAAGGTTGGTGTTCCTGGTGTGTTTATCCCAACTCTGTTTTATTGTGGGCAGATCTTCTTGGACCCAAAGGAGCGTAACAACACAGAATACAAACTGGAGACTTATGCTGTAGTTTACAGGAAGCTTTCAGGCAAAGATGTCGTGTTTGATTACCCAATAACAGACGCTTAGAAGCACCAGAAGCAACTCTGCTAATCTTCATCTTACCTCCACATGCAAATTACAGCTAGTAGGTTTTTTTCTATCAAAATTTTGACATTGATGACTCTTTTTTAGAAGGCAGACAACGACCAGGAAGCTTATTATCATTTTTCAGTATTTATCAGCTGCTATTATGAGATTGTTGGCTGATTTAAGAATTTTGTTTGGTTATCTGCAATCTTCCATTTTGTCATTTTTGACATCAATATGCATCACTTTGTTTGATGAGTTTTAGGTGTTGTGAAGATGAAAACTGGGAATTGTTTCAGCAAATCCATAGAGGTCTGTGGGGGTAAACATCCAACTTAGATGTTATGGCTTCCCATAGTCAGATTCGGTGTTGTCATTGGATGTGGTGCTATACTAAGTGTGGTCTGATTGATGCTTATGCCCGACTTAGGAGAGGTTATTTGCATATCCTCCTTCCTCACCCTTTACCTCTTTCATTGTAGGTGATAAAAAAGTAAATTTTTAAGAAAATTTAAATGAATGGTGATTAGTTGGTGAGAGAGCAGGGGAGGGGCTATAGGAGCAAGTGTTGAATGTTGTTTGGAGGAAACTTTAGCTTAGGTAATACGAAGAAAAAAAATTAAAATTTGAAGAATTTATGAAATAAGGATGGAATGTTTTTCAAGCTTTCTCTCCATGAAATTGATTGTTTGATGTTTAAGGGCACATATTGTGGCACTTCAATTTTTATTTATTTTCAAATGGTTAATTTGACAACAATATTTCTAAAAAATGTGTGGGTCATGAACATGTTAAATTAGAATATTATACTTTGATAGCTGAAACACATTCCCATTTATATATGCTCGGAAAAATAATAATGTAAGAAAAGAATTGGTATATTAAGAACAAAGCATTATCCATGCAAACTCAATCGATGCTTAGGCATATAAATCTCTTTTCATTTTCATTTTTTCCGGTGTATAATATGCTGAGAATGGTTCAAGCCACTACCCATCACTCATTGATCTTCAAAAGAATTAGGTTTATCAATTTTAGATTAATTAGCATGTGAAATCAATAAAAAATTAACAGATTTGGATCGAGTCTTAATAGGTTCGGATGATAAATAGGTGAACTGGTTGAACTTGTCAAATAGATGGGTCGATACCAACTCAACTATATATGGCACACATCCAATAAACACGGTTTATAACATACACGACATGAATTCAACTATAAGTTTAAGGACTAAATTGTATGGCGTGCCACCGGCAAAAGTATCTGTTCAATTAGCTCCTTCCACACTTTGCCAACCCAAGCGAAAGAACTACCAAGCCTGTAAGGGTTATATCCCATGGTCTATTCTCGGGGAGAAGACTACTAGCAGTTTAGTGACTCAGGTAGTCCTTAGGAAGCGGATGTGGATTTCTCCCGTCTTGATCCATCCAAAAAGCTTCTTCAGAATAAGGCAGTCCTTAGGTCACGCCTTGACAAAAATTTCACATCTGGTCGCCCACCTTCTACCCTTTTCAAAATAAAAACCTAAGATAGAGGAGAAGGGAAGCGGCTCATGACATTGCTAAAATAGCAGCCAGGAATTGGAAGGCCCATGGGCTAACATCAACAAGGGTTTACTCTATATTCTTTGATCATGGTCAGAAACAAAGAAAGAATATAACGAAAGAACTGGCATTTCATTCACCTATAACGATCCTTATAAATGCAACAAAATTTGACTTTAAAAAATTGACTTATTGCAGTCTGAACTGAGATGGAATGACTTCCCACGGGAACGGAGTTGATGCTCCCACATCCATAACAGTAGTAGTTAAAGTAGTACCCTGAAAGCAAGGGAAGGGCGAATGGAAAATAGAAAGAATTTTCTAAAGCCAGTTGACAATTTCTGTGGGTGCTAAAGAATTTTAGAAGCTTAATCTTCTGTAACTCAAAGGCCAACACTGGCTATGAGGAAGAACCAGAAGGATCAGAAATCTTGGCGCACCAGAAATTGACTGTGGATATGATTCTTCACTGTAAAGACTGAAAAATGCTTCTGATCTTTTCTCTTGACCCAAAAGTTGTGTAAGTGGTTCATGCTTGCAATCCATGGAGAATGCAGATACAACTTTGATTTCCGCTGCACTCACATCAACATGTTCATGTCAAATGAGGTCTTCAACAAAGCCATAAAGATTTCATTATTTCAATATACAGGAGAACAGAGTAATTTGAGATAAATAGGTCTACGTCTAAGGGGTTATTAATAACCAAAAGAAACTAGATCACTCTGCTGCTTTTAAGCTTCATAATCTTTGCATGTCCTGAAGAATCAGCACTGTATTTTCGCATTTTAATGCATTTACAGAAAAAATAATTTTCAAAAGTATTATACATAAGGTGACTTCACTTCCAATCAATTTTCTAATTTCAATCATTATCGTTTGGATGATAATGGTGATAAACTCAATCACTATGGACTGACATTTCAGCAGCACCAGGAACAATCTTTCATGAAATATTTTAGGAAATAATTGAAAGTTTCATAATGTTACTGCTTAATGCTTAACCAAACCTTATATATGGGAAAGGAAATATGCCTCCATAACTCGCACAAATTAAAAAAAAAAAAATGCAAAAAGGCCCATCTAACAGAATTTACCTCAAGACAAGATCACAAGACCAAGATACATGGCCCCACAAAGGAACAAGAAAGATATGAAACCCCTGCAAGTGGAATTCTTCAGAGTTAGGGAGGAAACAACATAACACATAAGAATACTTAGCATCAGTTAGTTCAACGACGACTTGGGGTTTTGTTTTTTTTGGGGGGTGAGGGTTGGGAGGGCATCTACAGGGAAAAATCAAACATTTGGACCTTCCCAATGCAAAGATATCCTCACCAGATGACACCCCATCCAACACCGTTACAAGGACATGGACAAACTTCAGCAAACTTCTCAGCATCACTTGAGTGAACTCTTCGGGATATTAGATCATCATATATATCTGCACAAAGAGATGCAAACATGCAACTCCTAATATAGAATTTTTAAGTATCAAATCACCTATTAAATTAACTGGATAGAATGTCATACCATATACTGAAAATAAACTGTTCATTACACCTGCAGCTTGACAAAGCAGACATAAGCAACCATTCATCAAAACCTTTACACTTGGATTATAAATTCAATATCGTGCACTACTTGGCAGACATAAAAAGGAAGGCAGAATGCCTTTTTTTCCGGTAAGTGAAAGAAAGCAGAATGTCATTACCAATGAAAAGGATGATGTACCGAAGAATTTGAATTTTTGTTGTTTCTTGCAGAACCCAAATTACAGCAAGGAATACCATGAATCCTGTTTTTTTTCACATGTAGATGACAATACTATTACCATGTCATAGCCTGTCTATTATACAAAGTAAGATTTACCATATTCTGAAAGACCTTACCAATACAAAGCCCCCGGAGTGTCCACTGTTCAAATGATCATAGAACAGTATAATCAGTCAAATGCACAGAGAATACCCGTATAGTACGATTGCGGTAAGATCCTAAAACATGTTCAGATTTTCTGTAAAACAATAAAGGGGCACTTGGAAGCCAGATTAACTCTAAACTATGTATTACTCTTCAAGGCATTCAAATGAGCCTTGCAATTATAACTAACATGATGCTAGAAAGATACATTTCAAGACTTCAAGAATTAGATATGACTACATCCAATAATCATTTTGGTATCAACTTCATCTTATTCAAAGAAATTGTGCACTGAATTTTGCCTCAATACCAAAAACCAATGAACTATTGAACACAACAATATATAATCACCAAGTATCAAAGACATTCATCCACAACCACTTACATTTTTAGCAACAAAAAGTACAACAAGCAGAGCAACAGCTAAACATCCAGCAGCAATTCTTGCTGTGAGAAGATTTGTGGATGCAAGTATGAAAACCATCCCCCAAAATGATGAACCAAGATCTGGAAAGCCACAAAGAAAAGGACTTGTGTTTGCAACCAAAGATATATTTGGAATGTAACAAAAAAACAGCTCATACTGATTCCATGAAGTTTAAAATAAAGGAAACTAAACTGGCTCGAATTAACTTCCTTGCAATCAAGGCAGCACACAGTGTATTGATAATGTTAAAATGGAGGGTACAGTATCACATGTTCTATATCCACTTCTTGCATGAAAACAATTGCTGCTATCAAGCAATGAAAAGAAATAAATCAGGAAGGGGAGAGGAACTACATCCAGCTGGCAATATGAACCAGTATAAGCCACCGCGAGTTTGTGTACTGCCACCTTCATTTGCATGAACCTGGATTCCCTCCACCTGCATATCAAAATATACAATAAGCCCAAAGTACAAAAAATGAAAACTTTCCAGAAGGGAAACAACAGAAAACCGTCAATAATACACCGAGATTCCTTAATATGGCCAAAACACTAAAGTATCATACCCAATGTTATAGACGTATCAGGTTGTGAGAATTAGATGTAAATTGTTGGGCTTATTTTCAAGTAGCTTAAACTTGTGGAGTAATTGTTAGCTTGCCTTTTATTAAAAAAATCAATCTATAACATCTTGAGTTCCAGTCCCACAACATGGCTTTTGTTTCCCATTTGATTAGTAGATTTGTAGCATATTATGTTTGTGTGTTAGTGTTTACCTCTCCACTTTTTTTTAAGGGTTTGAAGGAGAAGGGAGGAGGGAGGGCATGTGAGGGACTGTATTGAGACCATGATATACATTGTTAGCTTATTCCTAAACAACTTAAGATTTTGGATTAGTCAACAATATAGACCAGGAGACTATGAATAGTTATATGGCCCCTTCTTAATTAAAGTTGGGCAAGTATACTGAAACTATATAGGAGAAATGAACACTTTGACAGCGAAGGGAGCAGATAGGCATCAATTTAGTATACAGAGAGAAATCTACAAACACCATGAGGCAATTTATCCCATAAGAAGAATTTTTTTGTTATTGGAAGGCTTGATGATATAAATATAAATGATCTTCCCCAAAACATTGGAACTTGCTAATTGGATGTCACCCGGTGTTCTTCCCGTTAATGTGAGATATGCGGTGACAAGCGAAAAAAATATGCATTCCCTATAATAGTAGTTGTCAAAGAAATTTGTGTCATGATTAAATATTGTTCTATTCATTGAAATGGGCATCACGAGATTTAAAAATTTTGCACTTTAAATATAAATTCTCTCATATAACTTCTTGATTAGAGAGAGAGAGAGAAAAAATAAACTTGTAATTAGTGCTTATCAGCCACATAGAAATGAAAGCAATTGATCTGTTCACATACAGTTATGGACCTCCAACACTAGGCTTCCAAATGAGATGTACACATCTGAGCCTAGAAGAGATTTTGATAAGCATAGAGACATGTGGTAAACTTAAGCTTGATAGGTTTTCATTTCCAAGTATGAGTCTTTTTTAAGCTTCATTTTTCTATTTGTAAAACACAGCAGACTTAAAACTGAAACCTTACAGGTATGGAAACCTGACAATTTGGCAGCAGAAAGTCATGTAATTTTGGAATCATAAACAAAATCTTATAAATGTAAAAAGTTTGTTTATTATCTCCATTAAGAAACTTGATTACATTTCCTGAAATGAAATTATAAAGACATGCATAAAAGCATGCCATTGCAGGTTTGGAAGACAATTGTGCTATGCAATTTCAAAAAAATGTACTTTTCCAAGGAAATATTCATGGCATATATTTGCATTTGTCAAAGCATCCAAACCACAATAGCAGAAAATTAACTTGCCAAATTCATAACCCAAGAATTATTATGCATCTTACAATAAGCGTAGAAAAAGAAACAGAGTTCTTACATGGCCACATGTAAGTTTGCAAGCAATAGCATGACTAGCTTCATGAATAAACACGGTGACAAGCTTGAATGGCATCAGTAGTAGCGTCCTCCATAGCTACAACAGAGAAACAAGATTGACATAAAAAGAAAAGAAGGCTGCCAGTGCTGTACTTAAATGAAGTATCAACAGGCAATCAAAATACCAAGATTTGAAAAGAGATGCTCTATAACCTTCCATACTATTTTTATTTACCAAATTCAGTTGCTAAGGGTTGAGATTTAACTTCCACTAAAAATTTCAGAACCTTTGTACAAACGTTTTGCTCAATCACAAACCACCCTCTTTTCTATTGGAATTTCTGGATTATTACACTTGCCGAAGCCTAGAAATTGTAGGTCTGTAAATCAATTTTTTTTCAATAAGAGTCTGTAAATCAACTACGAAAACTCTGGTATTTACCTAATTAAAAATTAAAAAAGCCCTTCCCCCAGACCTCTCATGTAAAAGCAAAGATCCCAAAATTTAACTTCAAAAGTAAATAAACTGTAAAAACTTCCAGATTTGATACATTATAAAGCAGAAATATAGATTCTCTAACAGCAAATCTCTCTTCTGACTACAAAAATACTGTGAATCCCTATTTCCAGGGAAAAAAATGACTTTCAAAGATAAGAAACACCAGGGAGATCATTTAGGATTACAATATTAACAGAAACAACAAAACAAAGGTGAATATCCGTCGGCATTTCTGTCAATCACTGCATCTAATTCACCCCAAAATCATACAGATGAAAGAAAACACATTTATCCTCCCCACCCCCGCGAGTGCACACACGGGGGGGAGAGAGAGAGAGGGTGGGGAACAATCTGCTAGAAATTAGTAGCAAACCCATGATCATATCACAGAGAGAGAATGCAGCAAAGAAATACCGCAAGGATGACTACAGAACAGACAGCGACAGTAGTGAGGAACACTACTTGCTCATGGTTGCAACAATTCCTGAGCTCCCAATTTGGCATTTCTTTCTGGTATATTACTAGTACCCACTTATCAGAAAACCTTAAAGTTCAGTGCTGGGACAAAGAGTTATGAGAAAAACCCACTTGATCTTCAAATGAGGAGCGCCAATAGGTGGGATCTGGAGAGAGAAAACAACTCTGTAGAGAGAGAAGTAGAGGAAGTTGGATTCTGTCTCTCTGATCTCCCCTCAGCTGGAAGCCGGAAGCTAGTAAGGGAGTGAGTGGAGATGCAAGGCAGCAATGCCTTTTTTGTGCGGGCACTACAGTGAGAGGAATCAATTCTAATTCAAATGCCTTTTTTGCAACTTTTTGCTTAAATTTAAATTTTTGGGTTAATTACAAAATGCCCCCTCTACTTTTGGTAATTTGTCATTCACTTTTTCAAGTTTCAAATTCAACAAATAACCCTCTCAAGTTTGAATTTTTTTGCAATTAACTCAAACAATTAATTTTAGATCATAAAAAATGACGGAAAGTAGATATGAGAAATTCACTTGATCTCTATATTGTTAAAAAGTCATAACTATCCCTAGATTTGTGTGTGTGTACGTTCACACACATGTTAGTGTTGAGGGAAGGCAAACATGTTGTGTAGTGTATTGGTATTGGGCTAAACAGATGTATTATTATTTTTTCTTTCCTTTTTTATTTTATGAACAAAATTTATATCTCAAAAAAAAATATGAAAAATAATATAGAAGATGGAGAGTGTAATTGTAGTTTCTTGTTTCAAACACTATTGCCAATCAATTTAGTTCACTTGAAACTTGAATGATTGTTGAAAAGGACAAATTATAATTAAATCTTAAATTTATTCACAAAACTATCATCGTTTTCATAAAAAGTGTACTTTAAATTAGTTTTTTTCAATAATTCAACAGTTGGCTCAATGATCGTCGCCTGCAATTGCTAGTAAGTTTGAACTTTCTCGCCCCTCTCTCTATAGAATTGCTGTTCAAAAAAATTAATTATTTTCAATATATTGATCAAAACTTATGCTTTCCAATGCAATAATACATTTTGAAAACATGCTTAAGTTTTAAAAATACACTTATGTTAAAATCTAATATATTAAAATGTGTTCTTAGTGAGTTATTTCAGATCCATGGTTTCTTTCCTGTGAATCAGAATTCAATCAACTATGAAAAATTGCATCTTTGCACCAAAAATAAACAAGAAGCGGAATATCACAAAGAAAAACTGTACCTAACAAAAAAAAAAACACTTTTGGTAATTGGCACATGTAAAAAAAACCCATAAAACTATCACACATAATAATGATGCATAAAGTTGATTATGTACAATCAAATCAATTGAGCGTGCGTTATAAAACAATTAATAAAGTAATCAATAATAAAAGACAAAAGATTGGGGGATTAGATTTTAGTGATCTAACTATTGAAGGCGACAATGGTAGCCAGAGAACTCTGTTAATGAGAGAGTAAGAGGTAACAGAGAGAAAGAGAAAGAGAGAAAAAAATAAAGCACAAGAATATGTTCAAAGTGAAGCGTGCGTTCCCTGTGTACAAGATTTACAATTTATAGGGCATAGAACCATAATTGATACGGTGACGTGAATGTCAAATTACTAATTTATTGAAAAGGATAGTTACAATTGAAAATGAACACTATTTTAGAGTAATGGTTATCCCGATAATTAATTTCTCACGTAAATTGACTCTTTCTGCACTCTTGAATTTTGAATTGTACTGAAATCATGAGTTAAGTGTGCCCTACCTTTTGATGATTTAGACTTAACTATGGCCTCAGACCTGATTTAAATCTGGACTCATCACATAGATTAAAAAAAAAAATTCATACAATGAATTAGTATCTACTTTCGATTCAAAAATAGTTAGTATTGACTTGATTTCCTTTTTAGCCTCCACTAACTATAAAAACAAAAACATAAAAATGTGGCAACCTTATTGTTTATGTCTTTTCAGACAGAAAAAATAATCAAATAGGTGAGAGGAATAGTAACATTATTGTTTATTTATTTGTCGGTGAGGCAACCACTTCTAATTACAAGGTAGTGAGAGTTGAAGTAATTTTTTTGTTAGGGTCGGCTACCGGCATGATGGGGTTTTCTGGGCACGAGGTATGGAGCGACCAAATAATCCAAGCTCAGACTGAGAGAATAGTAGCCCCCCCCCCTACCCCCACACAACTAAGATATTTTTTATTATAAATTTTAAAAGAAATTAAATTATCAATAAAAAAGAGAGATAAAAAATCAAATCAAATTAAATCTATAATATAAAATATGCTGAGTTTTAATAAGCTCATCTGATGATCTCAAGTAGGTTCATCTAACGTCCATCATCATCTCTCTCAAAATCATTCACATTACATCTTACCTTTAGAAATGAGTTATCCCTAATCTTTATACATTTGAAAAGAAACTAAATTATCAATGAGATAAAAAAATAAGGGATAGATAGAGAGAGTAGCGAGAGAGAGAGAGAGAGAGAGAGAGAGAGAGAGAAACAAAATAAGAGAGAGTAACAACAAGAGAGAAAGAGAAAAAGTGTGAAAAAATAAAAATTATGCATGATTTAAAAAAACATAAATAAGTAAAATAATTGAATTTTATACCTAATTACAAGACGTTTTATTAAAATTAAACTTAATATGGTAAACTCTAACAAAAAAAAAAAAAAAACTTAATATGGTAAACAACTTATTCATACCTTTCTTCTCATATTAGTCTAAAAAAATTTACTTATACCCAAAAAACACTATTATAGATATTATAAAAAGATTATATTTCGGAACCAACAATATTATATCTCAATCTAAAATGATATGATACATTCATTATCATCATATAAAAGGATACTATCAATATTAATGGTTGATGGTCATTGTGCCAGACCAATTGGATAGAGAATTGATAGATAATAAACTTATTAACTTGCCTTGGACGATTTTATTCTAATTAGTAACATGTTTCGGTTTTCGGTTTAAATGTTCGAAAGTCGGGATAGATTTTTATATTTGAATTTGGAAGCGTCTAACTAAAACTGATTGTTATTTGTTAGTGACTATTATTAATTTTAAAAGTACTGACAATTTATTATAATTTTTTATAATAAAATTACATATTTAAAAAAAATTAAACAGAAAAAATTATAATAATAATAATAATAATCGATTAAAGGTGCCCATAATCAAGTCCACAGTGGTGTTGTCTGCTCAGAACAATCACCGTGAAAGTCTGAATAATAGCAATCAGTCATTTCAATTACATTTCAAACTTCTGCAATCTCTCTCCAAAAAAAGCTAAAAAAAAAACTTTCTTTCATTTTTGTACTTTCATCTGGCTAGAATCTGTTTTTTTTTTAGAAGACATAATTTTATAGGGGTGCAACTTAAAGTAGGCTACCATGAATTTAACTCGAGTTTAATCTAAAAAAATTTAAAATTTGGGTTAGAATTTTTAATACTTGAAATAGATCTGGACGAAAAAACTTAACCCAAATCGAATTTGGATAAGTCTCGGATTGTCGAATTTTACCAGAATATTAAAATCTGGTTGAACCCGAATATACATAAATATATTTAACTAGGATTATTAAATTTGGTAACGTCGTTTTTTCATCTTGAAAACAATCAAAAATAGAAACAATTTCTGTCTCTGTTTTGTGATAAACAATGAAATGAAAAACATGTTTGAGTGTTATTTTTGTCTATCAAATTATGAGAATAAAAAATAAAAAACACGTTTGGTAACTTCTTCACATTTTATCCTAAATATGTTTTATAATATATCATACAACAAAATACAAATCCAAAAATTCTTTAAACCAAAACATCCACTAATTCATCAAAGAACACCTAAAGAAAGATAATTAGATTACATAAATAATTAATCACATTCATACATCACATTGTTCAACATACAACCAAATACACACTTCCAATTCAATCCTACTCCCAATTTTTTTTCAAACAAATCAACATTTTATATCATTGATTAAAAATTATTAGAAAAAGAGAAAGGTAGACAGACCTACCCAATCAACAAATCAAGAACAAAACTACTGTTATCTTCCAAAGAATCAAAGAATATTTGAATCTAAACGGAGAGGCCTCTCCGATCTGGTGCACCAAGAACCTTCCCATGTCTGGCATCAAACCTCGAACAATTAGAAGCCCTCGTCTGCACCGCCTGCTTGGACAAAACAGCCACAACAACTAAACCAATACAGCAAGGCTTAAGACAAGCCTCTACCAGACAACCCAGAACCTTAAGCTTCTCATATCAAAGCATCCAAAGAGTATCTGAGAAAAGTGAAAAATAAGAATCCAGTGAAATTGGGGAACTAGGAGTTCTAGAATAGCAAATTGGACAAAGTAAAGAATGTGCAATAAATGAAAGGGAAACTGACCAGAATAATTTTGATAAATCATTCTATATAGCCACATTGTCAATTGTTCACATGTATTCACTATTCACAAAGATAATGTCAGAAGGTGGACAAATTGCAACATTGTTCTAAGCTCTATCAAGTATCAAAATTGCATTTTAAAATCCAATTGCAACCATATGTGGGGTCTACCCCAACTGAAAATACTTGGCAATTTTCTTAAGACTGACTCCAAAATACAAGCGTAATCATTTTTCAAGTTCAAGTATAATCTAAATCACATTGCAATTAAATGCATTACGCCCAACAAAAACAAACAGTTCATTTCTAAATTGATCCATAAAACGATACTGATCTGGCTATAAACTCACTGCAAGAGGCTTTTGCAGGAACAAATTGACAAAATCTCTAAGCTCCAATGTGAGACCAATTGCCAACATAATGAACTCAAGTGACAAGCTATACCAAGTATGACCCTTCTCCACAAACCATGAAAAAGTGGATGGTCTCAGGCAAGCAACAATCCCGCCAATCGTCACATAGACTAGGTACAGACTTGCTGCAGTGGCCACCCCTTGCAAGTCATTCCTCACCAAAACCCACCCCCTGCAACTCCCCCACCCCCTACAATTTAAAGGTTTACGGGTATGAATTTGTTGTTCAAGAAACTTGCAAGTTTGAGAAATCAAAATCAACTTACCAAAAAAAACTAATGTACTTAACATGTACTGTATTAAGTTAACATGAGAATTGAGGTCGTAGCTACTAAGGAATAAATGGAATTTCATCATTTTTTTCGAATATATTGAAGCTTTGAATATATAACACAAGATTTTATTTCATTAATTTTTCGAATATATAACATAAGATTTTATTTACTGTTCCTCGAAATGGAGAAAGATTTGATTTTCACCAAAAAAAAAAAAAACAACTGAAGCAAAACTACATACAAATTGAGAGGGAAGTATTTTGCGGAGTCACTCCTACCCGAACAAATCTAAAGGGCAACCAAATATAGTAAAGCCCTCAAATATACAGATCTATGTATATTGTGGTGGAAAAGTACAGATAAAAAAAAAAAAAAAAGCTTTATGCATATATATACAGATAAAACAAAAAAAAAAGGGATATGATGTACAGATATATGTATATATATACATATATCTATACAAATAAAGGAATTACACTTACTTTCACAGCGAAAGGAAGCTCTTTCTTCGTCGATCTGTGGATGGAAGTCTCTTCTTCTTGAGGTAAGCCTTCTTCGTCGATCTGTGAGTGGTGCTTAGAGAGTTTGCTAAGACAGAGAAGAGAAAAGAGTAGAAGAGAACAGAGGGGCTGAGACAAAGAAGAGAAGAGAGTAGCTGAGGGGCTGATTCATTTGTGTTTGTGAGGACCAAGTGATAATAAGACCCCATATTTATACTCTCTCATATGAAGTGGTATTTTGTGAGTAACATGATTCAAAGTTGAGACCTCATTTATACCAACCTCGCATGTTTTGTATTTCTCATGTTTCGTGGAACACATTTTTTTTATTTTCATTTTTTTGGCATGTTTCCAACACAACTAACATGAAACAAAAAAACAAAAATAATTACCAAACATATTTTGTTTTATTTTTGACAAAAATTGAAAACAAAAACATAAAACACAAGACAAAAATAGTAACCAAACAACCCCTTTCATTTTTGTATTTTCATCTTGCTAGAATCTGTTTTTTGAGAAGACATAATTCTATTAGGGTGTAACTTAGGCTGGCTAACCTGAATTTAACTCACGCCCAACCCAAAAAAAAAAGAAAAGAAAAGGGCTTGGTTTAGAATTTTTAATATTTGGGATGGGTCTGAGCAAAAAAACTTCAACCTGAATTGAATTTGGACAAGTCTCAGATTAAGACCTTGGGCTGTCAGGTTTTACGCGAATATTAAAATCGGGTTGAACCCGATTATTTAATCTGGTTGAATCCAAATATACATAAATATATAGATATATTTAATTAGGGTTAATATTTATCTTCCCTCTTTAGAGTCGAGACTTTCACTTCACTTCAAGTTTTCACTCCTACGCCTCGATCATTCTTATATCCCTATCTTATTCGTCACTTCTCCCTCTCTCAGCCTGCCTCTCTCAATTGTCACTTGTCTGAGTCGTCTCAGACTCTCAGCCTCCCTCTCTCACTCGTCATTACTTTCTCTCACTCCCTCTCTCTTCATTTACGCCTCGCCCCTTCATCTCAGTTCACTTAAAAAAATTAGATCTACACTTGAAAAAATTAAATCTACACTTCAAAAATCAACTTGAATTAATTAATCCAAGTCCAACCCAATTTTTAACTGAAAATCAGACTGAATTAAGTACCCCGAATTCAACCCTAGCCTGCCCGAATTAAACTCAAGCAGTACTTGGGGTTGAGTACCTTGGGTTGAGGTAGATTAGGGTTAAGGTTGAAAATTATATATCTAAGGTTGGGTTAGAGTTGACCTCTCAACTCGCGTTGAGTTGCACTCCTATAATTCTAATGTGTTGGCAAATAAAAGAAATTCAAAAGTATTTTGATGGGGCTCAAAATCTCTTTACTCAATTATAGAACAACAAAGGGGCTTGGGGCCAACGGGGGTTTTTGTGTGTGCTTGAGACAGTGTGAAGTAAAGGCTTGAAGAAGAAACAATGACCAAAATATAAATGGTTCATCTCAGTCAAAAGATTAAGGCTACGTCCACTGTAATAGAGACTCATGCTTCTGATAGGTTATATTACTTGAAGAATAAGGTAATTGTTACAATTAATTTGGTTGGGGCCTTTTCTAGAGTATTTTTCAAATTGTCTATGGTGATCTCTCTCCTTTTTACCGATGGCTTTGTATTCTATTTATATATCTGGCTGTGTTAGGGTTTCTGTAATTCTTTTTTTTTTTGGCTGATTTTGTGGTCACCTCCTCATTTATCTTGTAACAGGGGTCTGTCAGCTTGATGTCTTCCGTGTCCACGATCTTTGAAACAGAATGTATGCGATATTTTCTTTATTAGGGAATATTTTTTCATTAGAGTTATCAGACATTGTCCCCCTGTCCTCTAGCCACGTGGCACGACCAGGGTTACTTAGGACATGTCCTATGCCGAGCTCCTTATCCTTGAACAGGTACCTGCCATGGAGCTTGTTGGGATCAAACTGATATATATCCCCACTTGAATGATCATGCGCTTCCACGCCCCTTGAGCTATGGTCCAATCCTATAATACCGTGGGCATTATGCAAATGGACCATTTGCATCGTTCTTTAATCGGCATACTGGGTGTTTTGGACTCCAAGTAAGTGGCTCAGGCTTAAATCCATCGTCATCATATTTCATGTTTGAATTGGTAAGTGCATAACACAATGAAATATCATATTGATTCTGAACTTCATTATATAAGAATATGAATTTGCCATACTCTTTGAAGCATTCGACTGCCTTCTCATCCATCACAAAAATTTTGCACAAACACTTTCCGCACAACGCCAAGAAAACTGAGTATTTTTATTTCTCCAAATACTAGGAAGATGAATTAAATAATTAAACAACTTATCAGAAAAAGGAAAAAAACAGACTACACCACGATTTGCCATGGGTTTTCATGTGGCCCTCAAGACATGGTTAGTGAGTATCACCGTCAAGATGATTGAACCTACCAAGCATCTATATTAAATTACATTGACATGTATCTATAATCAAAACCCAAAAAACAAAGGATTTACATTAAATTTATGGAGCACATAAGCCTGCCTAATAAAGGTCATCTACCTTCATCAAGAGAAGAATAGGAGATAGAATTCCTAGAAAAATCCTCAACAAAACTACTTCCTTCAGAAACCTTGGTGAGACCAGACTGACCAGTGTGTGTACTGGTAGCGTTGGTGTTAGTAAAAGCACTAGAAGTGGTGGTGGTCCAACGTCCTGCACGGCCATGAAGGCCAGGCTTTCCAGGTTTGGGTAAAGTAAACGAATCACCACATAGCATGAGATGAATAGAATTCATGTCAGGCCTATCTGCAACAGTTGCTTGACAGCATAACAATCCCAGCTGAATGCACATTGTTGCTTCCTCATAACTGCACTCTTCGAGGCTTGCATCGATCAAGTCCAATGACTTCCCTGCTTGAAAGAGTGTCCAAGTCTGTAGAAGACGAGGGAAAGCAGAAGACTTGTTAGAATAATTGCACATCATCGAGACTATCAAACATCAAAAAAGACGCACCAAATTGCATGGCAACTAATTCAAGATCAGATAATAAATCAAAATATGAAGATTGCAGCAGCGTTTTGAGTGGGAGATTTGGGTGGAAATCATATTTTCTTTTTTGGACTTAAATTTATTCAAACAATTTTGTTGATATTCCAAATAATTTTAATGCCTTAGATATCTGGATTGGACCGTCCTTATCATTTGATCAGCGAGTGGCTAATTACTTCATGATTTCTGAGTGTTGTGTTATCTTTAGATTCAGATTTGTCATTTGTACCAACATAGCTAAATAGGTACATCAGCCAATTATTTCTTTTGAACTTCAATGGAAATCAGCAGGACATTGCTGCAAACCCGAGTAAGTTAGCTTTCAAGTGTTCCAAATTCTGCTTCTTCCCAATAATGTATTGGTATTACTATTAAGGCTGTCCCTTCGTACTCTTCAGTTGTAAGAAAATTTACCATGTATCAAGAATGAAATATTAGTTAGTTGTTTTGGCAATTTTGGCATCACACCTTTCCCAGACAACTTACATATCTCAAAAGGTCTGCCATGTCATCATTAAGCTGCCTGTCATGATTCTTCCTCCCACTCACAATCTCCAACACCAACACTCCAAAACTAAACACATCCGTCTTCACAGACAAATATCCATGCATTGCATACTCGGGAGCCATATAGCCACTGCGTTCAACAAAAGAATTTGCTTATTTTCACAGACACGGCTCTGAGGAAATCTTGACAAGACTAGAAAAAGACAGTGTGCCAAACCCTCCAGTGGGTGGGGATACCGGGATAATGCACATGACTATGGATTGGTCCTAGCCTCTCAGGAAAATCACTAGAGCATAGTACAGAAAGGGGTAAAGAATAGAAATACTCACTGAGTACCAGAAATCCTAAATGTATGCAAATGGGTGTCTTCCCCGGGAAATAGCCTTGCCAAGCCAAAATCTGAGATTTTTGGATTTAATTGCTCATCCAGTAATATATTACTGGCTTTAATGTCTCTGTGGATAATCCTTTCAGGGGCTTCTTCGTGCAGGTAGAGGAGTCCTCTTACAACACCTATAACTATTTGAAATCGTTTCGGCCAACCCAAGGATGAGGACTTCTTTTTATCTGAAAAGATGCACTGACCAACTTTTAAATTTGGATTTACAATCAAAATTTAGACTTCAGTTAGAACAAAACTTTGGCACTGGACAAGGTTTATTTACCAAAAAGGAAGTAGTCAAGGCTCTTGTTTGTTAGATACTCATAGACAAGCATCTTCTCTGGTCCTTCAACACAGCACCCCAACAATCTGACCAAGTTTTTATGCTGAATTTTCAATAAAAGTTTCACCTCGTTAGTGAATTCCCTTAGTCCCTGTCTTGAATTCAATGACAACTTCTTCACAGCTATTTCTTGACAATTTGACAACAATCCCTGTAACAAAATACAAATAAAATACAGACAATATTATGAAGGAGTAACTGAAGAATAGATAATTAATAGCCCTTAGATAAGGGTAGTCGGCAACGTGAATCTCAAAATGTTGGTTTGACATCATTAAATTATTCGGAACACAGCGTAAAAAGTACAGCACAATAAGCAAAGTAGTCTGGAATCTACAATAATATACTGCCAAAAATGAAGAAAACAAAAACTCACTCCCAATCCATTCAATAAGGCAAAAAGATACCTTTTGTTTAATGCAGGAAGAGTAAGATTTGCAGAAGATAGAGCCTCCTTACTCTTATCCGGAGCTCGTGAAGCTATTTCCTCGCCGCCGCATTGACATCACAAGCTCTCAACTACCCCCTATCATGTTATGGCACTAAAACCCAAGCCCTGAATCAAAAATCTGAACGGGGAATACAAAAGATTCCATAGAATTTTCAAAATTGCAGATCAAAGTCAACCTCCGCTCACATTGTTATCTGTCATGTCCAGCAACCAACAACTTCCTATATCACCCAACTGATGCTGTTTTGACATATCTGATCTCCCCAATTATTAGGAAGAAACATCAATGGTTCGGCACCTTTAACAATTTTGTCCCAGTATCCCAGCGAACTTCTGCATCTAACTAAATCTTACATCGATGTGCCTACTCCTGTCATAATCATCTGACAGTTGGCGTGTCCCACTATTATAACTACCAAAGGTAAATGCACCTTCTTGACAAAGCTCTAATTTTGTTTCTATTTCAACCCTATGGCAGTGCCATGCGCAATGACTGAAAGTTAGATTGAAGAGCTGCAAGTTGGAGATCCAATTCAAACAATTGATATTTTGGGAAAAAAGCCTCAATGTTAGGGAGATGTGCATTTATGTTATTTTTCGGGTGGTGTGGAACTATGGATGGAGAGGAATCGCAGAATTCCTTGAGAGGAGGAAGAAAGAGTGTTGTTGTGGGATAGAGTGAAGTTTTCAGCATATCTTTAGGTAGTGGTTTCACATGAGTTTAGAGTCACTTCTCTGTCGGTTCTACAACACAATTGGAAAGCTGCATCTACTAATTTTGTTTTATTGTATCATTGTATGTTGTTGCTTTTTGGGTGGGTTTCTTAGCTTCCATTTACGTANAACAATCTGACCAAGTTTTTATGCTGAATTTTCAATAAAAGTTTCACCTCGTTAGTGAATTCCCTTAGTCCCTGTCTTGAATTCAATGACAACTTCTTCACAGCTATTTCTTGACAATTTGACAACAATCCCTGTAACAAAATACAAATAAAATACAGACAATATTATGAAGGAGTAACTGAAGAATAGATAATTAATAGCCCTTAGATAAGGGTAGTCGGCAACGTGAATCTCAAAATGTTGGTTTGACATCATTAAATTATTCGGAACACAGCGTAAAAAGTACAGCACAATAAGCAAAGTAGTCTGGAATCTACAATAATATACTGCCAAAAATGAAGAAAACAAAAACTCACTCCCAATCCATTCAATAAGGCAAAAAGATACCTTTTGTTTAATGCAGGAAGAGTAAGATTTGCAGAAGATAGAGCCTCCTTACTCTTATCCGGAGCTCGTGAAGCTATTTCCTCGCCGCCGCATTGACATCACAAGCTCTCAACTACCCCCTATCATGTTATGGCACTAAAACCCAAGCCCTGAATCAAAAATCTGAACGGGGAATACAAAAGATTCCATAGAATTTTCAAAATTGCAGATCAAAGTCAACCTCCGCTCACATTGTTATCTGTCATGTCCAGCAACCAACAACTTCCTATATCACCCAACTGATGCTGTTTTGACATATCTGATCTCCCCAATTATTAGGAAGAAACATCAATGGTTCGGCACCTTTAACAATTTTGTCCCAGTATCCCAGCGAACTTCTGCATCTAACTAAATCTTACATCGATGTGCCTACTCCTGTCATAATCATCTGACAGTTGGCGTGTCCCACTATTATAACTACCAAAGGTAAATGCACCTTCTTGACAAAGCTCTAATTTTGTTTCTATTTCAACCCTATGGCAGTGCCATGCGCAATGACTGAAAGTTAGATTGAAGAGCTGCAAGTTGGAGATCCAATTCAAACAATTGATATTTTGGGAAAAAAGCCTCAATGTTAGGGAGATGTGCATTTATGTTATTTTTCGGGTGGTGTGGAACTATGGATGGAGAGGAATCGCAGAATTCCTTGAGAGGAGGAAGAAAGAGTGTTGTTGTGGGATAGAGTGAAGTTTTCAGCATATCTTTAGGTAGTGGTTTCACATGAGTTTAGAGTCACTTCTCTGTCGGTTCTACAACACAATTGGAAAGCTGCATCTACTAATTTTGTTTTATTGTATCATTGTATGTTGTTGCTTTTTGGGTGGGTTTCTTAGCTTCCATTTACGTACTTTTTGTACTTTCTGTGAATGAAAATTTTTTTTCTTATCAAAAAAAAAAAAAAAATTGTGATTGGGGAGAGCTTAAGTAGTTTCATAGTTGATAAAAATGCAGTAGCTCTAATCAATGAAGCTCAAAAGCAATCAACAAAAAACATTGAACTAATTGATCCTAGATAAACTGGCTTCTAGAGGTGCTACAGCCCTTTTAATTTTTTATCAAACTTAAAGCTTCTTTCTTGTATAAGATTCCAGTTATAATTCTTAATGTTTTCTCTCATAAAGACAAGATTGTGAGAAGCACTAGAAGCAATTTTTGGCTCGCAAATTTTAGTGTTCAGAAGTTCACAATCAACATTATTTCTCTATTCTGTGAGTATGTGCACCAAAGTGCAAATGGCAAAGATTATAGATTTTACATATAAAAGAAAATTCTGATAATTTTAATTGACCTAACGACATCATCTTGCTATTTGAATAAATAACCAATCCCAAACCTCATCTTACCCAAGTCATATCCATCTTTTGCATACCCTATCAAGCAAGCATCACCCCCCTTCAAACTTTCAAATATAGGATCAATAACATTGTTTCTTCAGTAGGCAATAATAAGCTACCGTAGTCCGTCACTAAAAATGATACTGTTTAATGGATATTGGATTTGGGCCCTCCATACATCATACTACATACCAAACTCTTCAAGGTAAATGGTGTATCTACTACAATTCTTTCGCATATATTTGCATCCAACTAAACGGTCATTACCGATCGTTGGTACAACAATGTGACATTCTGGGAGGAGTGGACTAAGTAAAGATTTAATCTCAGGTATTTTGTAAACACTGTTTATCTTTTACACTTGTACAATAATGTTTGGTACCAACGGGCTTGTGGTCCAATGATACTCCTTACCTTGTAAAAACTTTGACTTCTTGAGGTCAAAGGTTCAAATTCCCCTCCCCCAAAATAAAAAATAATGTTTGGTCAATATATAAAATAGTGAGTCAAAATAATGCCTTTTGAAAACCAAGGGAAAACTCACCCAGATGCATATGGCCAGGCGGCCATCTGCAAGGGTTTTTCATTTTGGCAGCTGCACAGCCACCTCAGTGACCACCCAGCCCCCAATTGCCAAATGCCAACTTTCTCAAGTTGTTTCTCTTGCTTTGTATTACTGAATTGGGTCTGATCTCAAGTTATGTGATAGTTTATCACTTCTATTGGTTCCCCCTATAGAAAAGGTTGTAGGATTTCCAATTGTGTAGAGAGTGAGAGAAAGGGCGTGTACATCTTCTCTTCTGCAAGAACCCATCAGGTATATTGGGGTTTTGGTTTAAGTGAGAGTTTGGCTTCTATCATCACCTTGGAACTTGGTTTAGATCTCCATAGTGAAATTTGATCATCCATCAACTATGGACACTTTTAACATACCATTGTCTCCAATTTTTTTATTTTTTAATAGAATTCAAGAGGATATTATTAAGGAAAATGTAAAGAACAAAAGCACATGGGAGGACACGGTGTCCTCCACAGATATAGAAAGACTTGAGATAGATGTGAATGAAAGGGATACAAACTAAGTGTAGAGTCCCCGTATATATAATCGAATAATAAAAGTCAAAAAAGTCACAATAAGGATAAAAAGGTAAAAAAAACACAAAAAAGGCAAAACCCTAATAAACTAGGCTATAACTCCAACACTCCTCTTCAGGTTAGACCCAAAAATGTCCACTAATCCAAGCTTGACAACGGAGTCCCGAAGAATAGATAGAGAGATAGGTTTGGTAAAAACATCCGTAATCTGATCACTAGTCCCCACAAACGATGGAATGACAATACCACACAACTAACCTTCTCCCAAAAAAAGTGAACATCGATCTCTATATGCTTTGTCATCTCGTGTAATACAGAGTCAAAAGCGAGTTGAATAGAAAATCGATATAATGTAAATGAAGAAGTCACTGAAAATCCCAACTCGCCAAGAATCAATCAAAACCAAATAATCTTACATGTACCAACTGTCAGTGCCCGATACTCTGCCTCTGCTGACGAGCGAGAGACAACTGAGTGCTTCTTGCTCTTTCAAGAAATAAGATGAGCCCCTTGAGAAGTACAGAGGCCCGTAGTAGATCGACCGTTACACGCTCCACATAATCTGAATCTAAATAATAGGCTAGAGAACCAGTCTGAGATCCTGATGCATAGAACAACTCAAGTCCAGGACAAGACTTGAAGTACTGAAGAATATGATAAACTGCATCAACATGAGGCTGACATGTTTTGTGCATGAACTAATTAACTCGGTTGACAACGAATAAAATGTCTAGCCTAGTGTTGGCTAAGTAGATAAGTCTACCTACCAATCTCTGATAAATAGTCGGATCTCTCAACTCACCACCTTCAACAGTAACCTTAAGTTTTGAATCATAGGTAATGATGTCGGTTTCCACCCCAGCATCCCAGTGTCTGAGAGAAGATCCAGAACATACTTTCTCTGAGAAAGAACAATACCCCTGCTGCTACAGACAACCTCAATCCTAAGAAAATATAGCAGAAATTCAAAGTCTTTCACATCGAAGGCCTTTCCAAGGTCTACCTTAACCTGTGCAGTCTCAGAAACATCATCTCTGGTAATAATAATATTATCAACATATACCAAAAGGATGACACACTGTCCAGAAGTATTCTGTCAAATGAAGCAAATATGATTAGAATAACATCTAGTGAACCCTAAACGTACAACTATACCACTAAAACGAGAGAATTAGGCTCGTAGTGACTATTTCAATCCATAAAGAAACTTACGCAGTCGACATACCTTTTCAGCATACTCCCCCTCACCACGAAAGCCTGGTGGTGCATCTATATAAATAATCTCGTCTAGAACACCGTGAAGAAATGTATTCTTCACATCCAACTGATGAAGAGGCCAAAAATACTACAGCCAGAGAAATAATCAATCGAACAATAGTTAATTTTGTCACGGGAGCAAAGATAGCACCAAAATCACGACCTGGTATTTGAGTAAAGCCCTTCGTCACAAGCCTAGCCCTGTGATAATCAATAGTACCATCCGCAACAAACTTTAGGGTGTAAACCTAGCGACAGCCAACTGGCTTCCCCCCTGAAGGTAAAGAGATAAGATCCCACGTATGATTATGCTGAAGAGCGTCCATCTCCGTCTCTATGATAATAACCCACTGGGACTCCCGCATAGCCTTTGAAACAAAGCGAGGAACCGGCGTAAGACCATACTATAAGCTCGAAATGTAGAAGACAGATCATCACAAAAAACATAAGCAGAGATCAGATATAAAATCCTGGCGGTCCAACCATAATGAACAACTAGACGGCGATTACGTCGCGGATAACAACACCCTAAATCATCATACTCCACTGACAATATCTCATTAAGTAAAGTAACTGGCTCAATACCTACAATCTCATCAGTACTAACAACAAGTGTATCAATATGCTCAACGAACTGAGAATTATTATTTGCATTGCCTGAGGTAAAAGGACATCAGAAGGAGGATGAGAGCGAGCGCGACGAACATAAACCTACAAAGGAAGAGAGACTGGTGACTCTGTACTGACAGGGATGAGTAACTCAGGAGGAGGAGAGCCTGATGACTCTGTAGTGATAGTGACCAATGGCTCTGGCCCATGTGGTAACGAAAAATCAAAGAGAGTATCATCAACTGAAGGGGCAGACACAGGACTGGAAGAAAAATCAGGAATATGTTCAAGAAAGGTAACATCTAGATTGTGATACATACGACGTCTGAGAAGATCATAACATCGATACCCCTTAGATTGATGACAATAGCCTACAAAGACACAATAAATCGCTTTATCATTAAGCTTATGGCAAGTAAGAGACCGATCTTGAACAAAATATGTGCAATCAAAAACGCGAAGGGAGACTGAAAAAAGTGTCCGCTCAAAGAATAAGAACTGTAAAGGATCCCTATGTTGAAGAACATGACTCGATGTACGTTTGCATAGAAAGGTAAAAATCAAAACAGCAAAATGCCAATAAAATTTTGATACCCCCATACCTCTAAGCATACAACGTATCATCCCTATCAGACTACTATTTTTTCTTTCAGCAACTCTATTTTGCTCAGGAGTATATAGACAAATGAGCTGCTAAAGGATACTCCGAGAAGAAAAGTGAGACACTAAGGCATCAAACATATATTCTTTGGTATTATCCGAACGAAGAGCACGAAAAATGACATCAAATTGTGTCTTAATCATCTAAAAAAATTGAGTGATTACAGGGAATATATTAGACTACTTATATAAAAGGTAGAACTAAGTATAACGGGTATGGTCATCTATAAATGTCACATTATATCGAGTATTTCACTGAGCAGTAATAGGAAAGGCGCCCCAAATATCATAATGTATTAGGTCAAATGGTTTGGGTGACTGATGCATGCAAGGAATAAAACTAGTCCGAACGTATTTCGATAAGGAACATATAACACAGTCAAGTTTACCACCAACACAAGTATTGCTCAGAGTAAGAAATAACATACATAAATATTTAAAATTTGTATGCCTAAAACAGTCATACCACAACTGAACAGTTTGTGAGGAAAAATCATAATGACAAGTAGTAGGTAAAATACTAGCATGCAAGTTATGAACAGATAACGATAAAGCTGGTGCAGGTGATGGAGGTGGAGGAACTAATGAAACTGAAGATGGATCTCCTAGATAATACAGTCCATCTCTTCCATGTCCCCTGATAATAATCCTCTTGGTATTCAGGTCCTACAAATAATACGAATCAGATAAGAACACAACTGCACTGGAAAAATCTTTGACTAACTGATATACAGATAATAGATTCATTGCCAGCTATGGTGTATGAAAAACTAAACGTAATATAAATCCATCTGGGAGGCGAACTGTATCCCTATTAACAATAGGGGCATGTGTCCCATCTGCTAGCTGAACCTATGTATGTAACTACTCATCAAAAGGGGTGAAGTGATGGGCTTCACTTGTCATATGAATATTCGCACCCGAGTCCAGCATCCAAAGGAGAGACGGACTGACGCAAGCATGAAAGACACGAGGTATACCTATAGTGGTGGAAGTAGTAGTAGTCGAACCCTGAGAAGTCAGGGTGGACATAAGTATATCCAATCGGGAAGTGATAGCATCCATATCACTCTGCCAAGGAGGAACAGCAACAGGAACAACGACAGTAAGTGGTGGTACCTCAGCAATAGCAATAGCACGGCCGCGAGGAAGTTGCTTAAGCTCTGGAGGGAGCTTCCAGCAAGTAGTCCTGAGATATCCTGGTTGACCACAATAATCACACTAACAAGAATCCCTCTGTCTACGCTAATCTGGGGCACCCTAATGACATTGGTCTGAGCACTGTCCACCCCTTGCTGAGGATCCTGAATGAGACCCTACAACAGCTGCAAGGGCCATCTAGTCAGTCAGAGGAGTCAAGGCCGCAACTGGAAGTGACGCAATACGGACGCGGTGCT